TCCTGCGTACGAGGCGATCGAGGCTGACGTCATCTCCCCACCGTGGCGCCCCAATCCGTTGTCAGCCGATAGATGAGGGGTGTTCACACTAGCGGGAGGCAACCGGAGCACGCGGAGAAAAACCCACGCGCTCGATCCCCCGTACGGATGGAATCGGATGGCGATTAGTCCACTTCGCCGTGCCGCCTTCTGCCGGCGAGCCCGGGATGTTACGGCACCTCCTCGACGTCCACACGGTGGACGGGAGTGCGGCGATCCACCAACCCTCAACCGCTGCCTCGGCGGTGCCGGGGGTCACAGGCGCACGACACCGCCGCCGCCACCCGGGGCGACACAACGCAGCGTGGCGGCGTCACGTGACACACGCAAGGCATGGTAGGAGGACCGGTCTCATGGTCACAATCCGGCCCACCCCTTTTCCGCCGAATAAATCACCCCCTTGGATTTTGACGCTCGCCAGTACGCGCTTTAGGACAAAAACATAACAGCGAACCGTAAATTAAGACGGGGCAAATCTTGTAAATCAACGCTGCGCTGCACCGCGTTTGACTTGTTGCCTTTTTTTCTAGCTTCTTGTCGTTTTTTTCGAGCTTCTTATCACCCCGAATGACCTCTCCCCCCCCCCCCCAATGCTGAGATTTCCTCTCCATGGGCATTTAGAAGTTAGACGCCGACGTAAAGCAGTCAGGCTGACTGATGGTCCAGCGCTCACCGATTCACTCCAGCCGCTCGCTCGCTCGCCGCCACTTCCATGTCTACTGTTCCCGCGAACTTCGCCCCTCGGTTAACTCCACCATGCTGAGGCTTCGGCCTCGGCGCAGGCACTGGCCGTCGAGTCTCGTGCAAACCGTGTTCAACCGCCACGCTGCAGACCACAGCGGCACACTCACTCGCTCACCCGTTCACCCGCTCACCCACCCACTCGCCACACCACAGGTCTCTCTGTGCTTCCCCTTCAACCCCCGCACCACGTTGGAATTCTCTCGTCCCGTCACCGTCGTCTCTTTCTAGACCTGGGAAATCGTTGACGACCAACACGCGGACGTCACAAAGCTCGAACACGCGCGAGGAGGCGAGCGCAGACCTCAAGGACGATCACTTCGAGGGTGCTTTCAGATGCGCTTTCCGCGGCCGTCTGGAACGCCTCCTCCGTCCGATATTGGGAAGCCGCTGGGAGCTATGATGCACTTTTAAAGCATCCAGATTGACAAACTAAATTCTTTAGAACTGCTTTGTGTGTTTAGCTTTGTTGTCTTTCCCCCCCCCCCCGCGCCTCCGATTTGCGCGGTTGGCCACGTACGGTGAGAACCAAGTTCAGCACACGTACGTACAGACCCGCGTTCCGCCCCCCCCCCATCACGTTTCACATTACCAGCTGCGTCATTACGGGAGGTAACCATCTCGCGGTTCTCCCTCAACAATTTTTTCGGAGGACTTTCTATTTTGTCCACGACTTATGTGGGAGCGAGCACCCCCCCCCCCCCCCGCTGTAAATAATCACGGCACACCGAAGCGCCGTACGAGGAGCTGCTTAGCGGTCTTTTGTAGCCGTTATAACCTCCCAAAGAAGGCTTCTTCACAAGTATCCCCCACGTCTCCGTGCTTCCACCCCAATAGGAGTCACCCAACCCGCCCCCCCCGCCCCGTCAAGCCTACAACACCTGGTATTCTCCCTCAGACGTACAAACCAGGCTTTTATGTCGTGTTTTTTTTAATTCCCCACACGCGATCATATCGACGACACTAAGGAAATTTACAACTCTACCCACGATGCCTTGCTGCCCCTCAAGGGAGGGGTGGGGAAAGGGCAGCGGGGGCCGTGGGGCGGCAAATAAAATAATCGGGTCGGACGTCGCACGGACGTTGGATCACCGCTCGAGCCCATTTCAGAAATCGTGACGTGGCGATCCTCCACGCAAAACCACATCGGCCTCTCCCTCCTTCTCCCTCCTCCCTACCTCGTCGCCACTACGAGGCATGGGGGGGGGGGGGGCACATTTGAAACCGGGTGGGGGTAACGGCCTCCACGTGCCCCTAGACACCCACCCCAGCCCCTAGCTATGGACTCCCCCCACAATATTTACGGTGCGCGCTCGGAGCTGCCACGGTGTGGCTCGCTCCTAGAGTGGGCTATTAAACGCGGGGTCGCGAGTTCACATCAGGTCAGGGTTGATTCACCCTCGATATCATCACTGTCATCAGGATCATCGTCGCCGTCATTGCTATAACCACCATCATCGGCAACACCATCATCATCATCTCTGTCATCGTCATCAACTTTGTTGACATTTCCATCATCGTCATTACCACCATCACGACCACCACCAGCGCAAACATCATCATGTCATCGTCGTCGTCATCATTATTACCATCGTAATCATCATGACTCTCATTATCATCATATCCATCGTCACCATCACCACCATCAGTCATTCCTTTAGGTCAATACAAAAATTAAGCGCCAATGCCTGCATACGCAGTCAAAATATCGGCGTTTTTTTTCCAATCGAGTTTCTCGCCACCCTATGGTTGTGCGGATTGAAAGAAAAAAAAACACCGCCAGGACCGACGGAGGAAGGCATCTCGGAGGCGGTTCCCGCGATCTCTCCACCTGTGTGCCGTTCTCTCAACGCACAACGGGGGGGGGCCGACGCTCCGCTCTGCGCGAGTTCCGAACGGCACCGCTCTCCATCCCGAGACGCGACGCCGATGGCGCAAACCGGAGCGTAAAGTGTGAAGTAAAAAAAAAGTTTAATCGTTTTAGAAAAAAGAAAAACTTTGCTCCAAAGCCAAAGCGCTCGCAGAGAACGCGAGCGACATGAACAACTAATTAGACGCAAGGGGTGCGCGCAGCGCGCTGCCGCGAACGTTACATCAGATGACGTATTTACTACGCGCCGCGGTTTCGGCAACGCATTTGGCGGTAGCGGTGGTGGCGGCGGCGGCCTCCGCCCTTGTGAGGCGAGGTAAGCGAGGTCCCCCGGGCCGGGATAAATGAGTCAAAGATGTGGGGGGGGGGTGGTGACGGGTCCGGGGGGGTCGGGTCAGGTCGCGGGGGGGGGGGTGTAGAAATGAGCGTCAAACACCACAGGACGTAGGGGTGAGTCACGCGGGTCGAAGCCCACCGCGTCGTCGCAAAGAGAAACCCCGACGACGCCAGCACGCCGTGCCGCCTCCACCCCCCCAGCCCCCCGTGGACGGAGTGTACTTAGCAGCATGCGTCTATATTATTTATATTGTTGTTGTGCGAAAGGTCACATCGCTGGGCTGTCGTTTGTGACGGGGCGGGTCACTTCCGAGGAAGAAGCCAACAGCTCAGTGTGGGTTTTATAACTGGAAAAAAATATATAAATAGTCAGGCATTATTTGTCTATTTATTTTTTAAGGATTCGTTTACCCTGCCCATACTTTGCACTCCTATCGTGTTGTTGTTCTGTTTGTTGTTGTAGCGTTCTTGCACACCCCAAACGGACATCTGTGAACAAGAGCTTCATAGCCCATCGGATTCCTCCTGCGGTATAAATGCAGTTGCTGATTCTGGACATGCCGGTGTTAACTCTCTTAACGCAGCCATGATTCCTTGTAAAAGGTGTCTGTTTAATGTTTTAACATCTGAACCCCTCTCGAATCATCATCACGGTGGCTAGGAGATGTTAACTAACTCGCCTGGTATACATGAGCCATGGTTTAGATCCCGACCCTGATGCCTGCTGCTGTATATTTGGAATTTGCATGTCGCCCATGGTCGTGTGGATTTGTCTCCTGGCCCTCCGGTTTTTCCTTCCACATTTAGAATCAACGTGTGATCAAGAGTATTTGGCTGCTAGACATTTCCACACGATGATAAGCCACTTTGCTGAGCTACCATTTGTGGCCAGGTCGCTTCTGAAAAAAGAGCCGTAAAGGTCAGTGGGCCTTAGCTGGTAAAATAGCAGTTTAGTTGTAGTTTACGTCACTGCTACAAATTATGGTCTCTGACTGCCATTCATTCCGTAACCAGACACGACCATGTGCCATCATTGTTAACGTTGTGCCCTGCCCCAAGCTCTTAGCATAAATCATAACAACAATAATTATAATCAGGGTGAGCTGGAACAAAAAAATAAGTCCCACCCATCCGCTCCACCCCGACTCCCCTCCTCTCCCCCCTCCCGCCACGGAGAAACGACGGCCCGGCGGTGACGGTCATTGGTCCTCGGTGCGGAGCGGAGCCTCGTCAAGAGCGAATTACGGGAATCACGATGAGCGTAGGAAGAGGCACGGAACGTCCGACGCTTACGCCCGGCCTGTAATTTGCGTGGTGGCGAGAATTACTTCTGGAACAAAGAGCGAGACAGCAGCTCAGTGGGCCCTTAGGGTCAAATAAAAGTAGTTTAGTTCAATATATAGAGGACCGCAGAGCTTGGGCAATTGTTGGCACCGGCTTGCCGCGTGGCTGCTGCTGCCTTACCAGGCGGTGGGAGGTGGGGGGGGCTGAGAGATTGGCCAACTGGTAGCTGAAGTCGCCCTCGAGTGACGAGTTAGTACGTTTGGCATTCACGTCGTTCTTGCCGCAAAGTGCTCTCGCTGGGGGTCGCTACGTTTCCCGGACGGACACAGTCTGCCGGCAGGGCAAGACGATCGCCGCCGTGCATCGTCCACGTTGGGAGCCATTTGCCGTGCAATGTTTCGACACGTGGCCACGGTCATTTAACTTCGCTTCGAGCGACGTCGGCGTTCCGGTTGACACCGGCACCGCCGCAGCGATAACCAGGGCGGCCCCGGCGGGATGCCAGCAAAACGAACGTCCGCGGGACAAAGCGGCGCCGGTGCGGCCGGGCCAGCGACGCAACCCCTGCCTAGTTCCGAGGTGGGAACCCTGGGAAGGATCGGTGAACGTCAAGGAAGAGATGAAGAAGCCATGGCGGTTTACATCCCCCGGTGCAAACGGAAGGACGCGAGTTAAAGGAGACGGTGCACCGCGGTGCAGACAGAATCAGAACCTTGAGACGGCAACGCACCTTGAATGGCAGAGAGGTACACGAACGGGTCTTCGTCGTCCACGCTGGCCAGGAACACCTGCAGAGCAACGGCACGGCGTACATAGGCGTGTTGAGATTCTCTCGCACCGTGACGTGGCCAACTGCGAGGTGCGGAGGTGGAAGGACAAACTGAACACAAAAATCCGTTCTAAAGAAATTAGTTTTTCAATGTATATTTAAAAGTACTCCGCTCTAGTGGCTTCCTACGCAGAGTAATGTCACTTAAACAAAAGAGAAACTATTTTGTATTCTACCAGGCAAGGCCCCGCTGAGCCATGCAGCACCTGGCTACAAATGATAGCCTGACAAAAGTGGCTGATCACGTGGAAATTTACAGCAGAAGCCAAATACTCGAAAGGTACAATTCTTAATGTGGAGGGACAAACCGGAGAAAAATCCACGCGGCCACGGAGAGAAAGAGAGAGACTAACGGCACAATGTAAGGACGTGTGTTGAACTTCTCTCGCACCGTACGTGCGGAGGGAAGGACAACAAACTAAACGCAAAAAGCAGTTTTAAAGAAACGAGTCTTTCAATCGAGATGACGATTTGGAAGTGCACGGCTTCAGTGGCTTCCTCATATCGGAAGGAAGAGCGTTCCAGACGGCCAAAGAAGCGCAGGGGGTAGGCATCACAGAAAACGCGAGGATCATCGTCAACATCGTCATATCGCTGGGAATGCGTGTGGTTATTCCGATTATTGTTATTATTCCGCTTGTTCGTCCAGGGAAAGCCTCGCCGATTTTCTTAAATACTTTTTTACAGAGGGTCCTGCCAAGTTGTCGCAGTAGGGTGGGGAGGGCAGGGGGGTGGGGCAGGGGCAATTGGTTATTGCCGCGCGGAATCTCAATCGAGTAACCTGCCGTGTGATTTTTCTAATTTGGCAAAGTTGGACCGCGGCGCCCGGCACGCAGCGAAAGACGTCGCGGGGATCCAGCAAACGTCCGTTGCGAAAGCAAAGCGGCCGGCGCGTGGCATTCGTGCGGCTGACGACGAAGACAACCGCAGGATTAACCGGGACGGCCGCTACATTCCGAACTCGGCGAGAACACGCAGTGGACGCGCTCCCGTCAGGGCCTCCTTGCCACCCCGCCCCCTCCCAAGGGGCCTTCCCCCGCTCGGAGGGGCAGCGCAAATAATCGCAAACAACGGCGGCGGTAAATCAGTTCGGGGGGGGGGGTCCCTCGTAAGCCGACACCGGCCGCCACGTGACCCGTGGCAGCCACGGGAAGGCCTCAGAAGAAAAAAACCCCACGTTGGCATTTGTTTGATTTGACGGATGGCCGGGCCGGGCCGGGCGGGGCGGGCGGGCGGAGAGAGGGGCGCAGCTGGCGCGCGTTTCGCGCCCCGTCGCACACCTCCAGGATCTTGTCCTGCTCCTCGACGGCGTCGGCGCGGCGCTGCTGGACCAGCCCGGTGAGGGTGCGCAACGCGGCCGCCCTCACCGGCACCTCGGGGTCGTAGGTCGCCTCCAGCATGTCCTGCACGGTCACCGGGGAGGCGGCCGGGCGGTGACCCCGCGGTGGTGAGGGCCGCCCCTGGGTGGGCGGGGTCGGGGGAGACACGGTCAGTCCGCGTGGGTTACACATCCGCGTCGACACCACCATCGCCGCCGCCGCTGATGATGATTACCGTGATGTTTGTTTACCCAGCAAAGGCTTGCTCGCGAGTCTCCAAGACTGCCAAGTTTTCGCGGTAGCAGGCAATGCTGCTGCTACGTGTAATCCCCGACGTAGGAATTTGCAGGTCATTTTGTAACACTGGGCTCTTTGGGGCAATGCCAGTTACATTATTTACTATGGGAAGAAACCGGAAAAAGGTACCCAAGTTCGTTCATGTGGTGCGAGTGGTACCGCTGCTCCGGTGACACCACTGCCCAGACCAGATATTTTGCTCGTCGAACCGCTCACAGCGGTTCCAATTTCGTGACGTGGCCGATTAAGAGCCGGCTAAGCGATAACCCCTTGCACAGAGGGAGTTGGGCCCATCAAATAATGAACGCTCATCCAGCCGTACGGATGAATCGGTGCTTCTGAAGTCCGGCCATCCATGTCGTCTGCGGCCCACAGACACCCTGCCAACCATCCAATGCAAGGGGACAAATGTGGTACGATTATTTTGTTCTCACGATGGCTATCAAACAATGGCTACAGCAAACGCGAGTGATAGTAACATTTGTTTCTGACTTGTCTTACAAGTCTGCAAAAATATGACAATTTATATATTATGATGACGGTCATATTACTATAATATTTTTGGTCATATGAAGGTCAAGAGCATTAAATCTTGGTCGGGGATTAACTCAATTAGTCCATCATCAGCCACCATCATTTTCATCACCATCACCACCATCATCAACCACTATCATCAGCCATCACACCACCATCATCATCATCATCACCACCACCATCATCAGCCAAAACATCATCATCACCATCACTACCACCATCATCATCATCATCACCACCACCACCATCATCAGCTAAAACATCATCATCATCACCATCACTACCACCACCACCATCACCACCATCATCATCAACATCACCACCATCATCATCAGCCACCACACCACCATCATCATCACCACCACCACCATCATTATCATCATCATCACCACCACATCATCATCATCCCCACCACCACCAACCACCATCATCATCAGCCACCACCAACACCATCATCACCACAATCATCAGAAGAAGCAGCAGCAGCAGTAAATCAACAACAGCAGAAAAATCATCATCAGTGGTTGTGGAATGGAGGCCGTCATAGGAATGTGGATTCTGACTCAGAATCAGAATTACCAAATCTTTCTTGAGCAAGGGGATGTTCTGATAATCATAACAACAATTTAGAATATTTCAAAATTACTCTTTTCTTACAGCGCGAAGGCAGGCGCTATGCCCTACAGATGAATAAAGTCCGCCAGTAGAGGGTGGTGCTCCGCTGGACTTTTACCCAATTAAGAAATTAAAGGCAAGCTCCCCTCCCCTCACCTCCCCCTCCGCTCACCTCCCCCTCCGCTCACCTCCCCCTCCACTCACCTCTCCGGACCGTGTTTGGTCTCCCGATTCCTCCGCTTTCCGGCCGATGGTCGCCCGCGCTGCCTCTGCCAAATTGTCGCCGCAGACCGCTCCGTGCGTCGCTATGGCGATGCGGAGGTCAGAGGCCAGGTCGCGGAGGTCGGGATCGGGGTCAGAGTTCACGATCCTCTCGAGGGGACCCAGCAGGGTTGCCTGGGCCGCCCGGTCAGCCGGACTTAACTGCGGACGCACAGGCATCGGAGAGAAGCGCCTGATGCGGTCGGAATCTGAGCAGGCGTTGGAGCCTGGTTAGTACCGAGATGCAAGACTGGCCGGGAATGCCGGCCGTTTGGGAGGCTTAGCCTACGAGGTGGCTAAGAGTCGGCAGTAGAATTTACCGAATCTGCCCGTGCGAGAGCTTCCGGGCGTTACAACGTCGTACGGGTTCGGAATCCTCTCGCGCGAGAAGCCAAACGCTGTGTGAGTCTATGGGTCTCTGTGTGAGTCTATGGGACTCTGAGCGAGTCTACGGGTCTCTGTGTGAGTCTTTGGGTCTCTGTGTGAGTCTATGGGTCTCTGTGTGAGTCTACGGGTCTCTGCGTGAGTCTATGGGACTCTGTGCGAGTCTACAGGTCTCTGTGTTAAGTCTGTGTATGTATGTCGAACTTCTTTTGCACCGTACGTAGCCGATCGTGCTACTCGGAAGTGCGGGGGGGGGGGGGGAAGACAACAATCTGAACGTATAAAGCAAGTTCTAAAGAAATTAGCTTTCAATTTATATTATTTAAAAGTGCAAAGCTCCCAGTGGCTTCTAGATAACAGGAGGAGCTGCGTAACTCCAGATAACGGGGGGAGAGCTGCAGGCGCCAGGGGTCAGCGCGCCACACCTACAAACTTGGGTGAGCTGCGTCCCGTTTCTCCGGACCACGGCCAACATCAGCGGCGAGTGCGACATCCGAGCAAGTCCGAGTCCTAGGCGCCCATCTCCCGTTCGGCAAACACGTCGCGGTGAAGTGTGCGGTCAAACAACGACGGTGGTTGGGGAGGCCTTCATCCATCCAGCAGCGGATCGAACATGGGGGACTGTAAATAGGGGCGGGTTGAGTTGGCGATAAATTCCCCCGACGCGGCTTGGCACTACGCCCCCCGCGCCCATCGGCCGCTGCCGGATACCCGCGCTGGGGCCAAGCGGGGTGTTGCCGTTTATGGGGGCGTTGGAACAATGGCACCTTAAAGTCAAGATTTTACCTTTATAAAAGCCCGGTGTTACGTTAATCTATAGTAGTATAAACTGAATATTTTGTAGTATCTACTGACTCTATAGTAGTATCTACTGACTCTATAGTAGTATCTACTGACTCTATAGTAGTATCTACTGACTCTACAGTAGTATCTACTGACTCTACAGTAGTATCTACTGACTCTACAGTAGTATCTACCGACTCTATAGTGGTATCTACTGACACTACAGTAGTATCAACTGAATATTTTGTAGTATCTACTGACTCTATAGTAGTATCTACTGACTCTATAGTAGGATCTACTGACTCTACAGTAGTATCTACTGACTCTACAGTAGTATCTACTGACTCTACAGTAGTATCTACTGACTCTACAGTAGTATCTACTGACTCTACAGTAGTATCTACTGACTCTATAGTAGCATCTACTGACTCTACAGTAGTATCTACTGACTCTATAGTAGTATCTACTGACTCTACAGTAGTATCCACTGACTCTATAGTAGTATCCACTGACTCTATATTAGTATCCACTGACTCTATATTAGTATCTACTGACTCTACAGTAGTATCCACTGACTCTATATTAGTATCTACTGACTCTACAGTAGTATCTACTGACTCTACAGTAGTATCTACTGACTCTATAGTAGTATCTACTGACTCTATAGTAGTATCTACTGACTCTACAGTAGTATCTACTGACTCTACAGTAGTATCTACTGACTCTACAGTAGTATCTACTGACTCTATAGTAGTATCTACTGACTCTATAGTAGTATCTACTGACTCTACAGTAGTATCTACTGACTCTACAGTAGTATCTACTGACTCTACAGTAGTATCTACTGACTCTACAGTAGTATCTACTGACTCTACAGTAGTATCTACTGACTCTATAGTAGTATCTACTGACTCTATAGTAGTATCTACTGACTCTACAGTAGTATCTACTGACTCTACAGTAGTATCTACTGACTCTACAGTAGTATCTACTGACTCTATAGTAGTATCTACTGACTCTATAGTAGTATCTACTGACTCTACAGTAGTATCTACTGACTCTACAGTAGTATCTACTGACTCTATAGTGGTATCTACTGACTCTACAGTAGTATCCACTGACTCGATAGTAGTATCTACTGACTCTACAGTAGTATCTACTGACTCTACAGTAGTATCCACTGACTCTACAGTAGTATCTACTGACTCTATAGTAGTATCTACTGACTCGATAGTAGCGTAGGGTGGTAGCGAACGTCAAGCCGAATCCCGCATTGCTCTGCAGTCCGCTCGCTCTGCAGTCCGTGCAAGGCTTACTAACTATAACCGACTTTAACTAAACTATTTTTTTTATTTTACCAGGTGAAGGCCCCGCTGAGCTGCTGTGAAGCTATTTTTTTCAGAAGCGAACTAGTCACCACAAATGCTCGCTCAACGAAGTGGCTCGCCATCGCGTGCTAAACGGGCGACGTCGATTCCAAAATGCGGAGGGAAAAACCGGGAGGACCCGGGGAAAATTCCACGCGACCACGGGCGAGAGGCACGCAAAACTATACAGCGGGCGTCAGGGTCGGCATCAAACCCACGACCTCCTGCAGACCGGGCGAGGTGGTTAACTTGGAATCGGACCGAGGGCAGGGAGCCAGCAGCACGTGCAGTTGGGGTGGGGGGGGGGGTGGAATGGGGGGGGTGGGGGGGTTTTCGGGGGGGGATTCGTCACCTCGGCTCCGCCGAGCGTGGCGGCCGCCAGTCCCATGGCCAGGCGCAGGGACTCGGCTTCCAGGCGGCGCTCCTCCCCGTGCCCACCTCCACCACCTCGCCGGGCGGTGGCCCTCTCCAGCGTGACGCGAACAAACTCCACCACCTGACGAGGGGGGTGGGGGGAGGGCGGTCGTCGGTCACGTGTTCACGCTCGGTGGTTGGCCCCGGGCGAGACGTCGACCACTCGCATCACGATCGTCCTCGTTTGAGGATAAACACCACCTCGTTAAAGACCCGGACATCTCCACCTCCTGTCTTTGACGTTCCTCCCCCTCCACCCCCCACCCCTACTCCTCTCCCCCCCCACCTCCTCCTCCCTTCCTCCTACTCCCCCCCACTCCTCCTCCCGCTCCTCCTCCTTGCCCCCTCCTCCTCCCCCACATCCCCCTCCTCCCCCCTCGCCTTCTCCTCCACCCCTCCTCCCTCCACCCTCCCTCCTCCTCCTCCGCCCCTCTCCTCCTCCTCCTTCCTCCCACTCCTCCCCACCCCCTGCTCCTCAGAGACACCGATTGCAACCATCACATCAGAACATCATCATCATCATCATCAACAACAACATCAACAACAACATCAGAACATCATCATCATCAACAACAACAGTGAGAGCAAGAGGCGCGGGTGCAAGTAGGCGCCGTGTTGTTTTTGTCCAGTACGGACGTAAAAGAGGTGGGGAGGAGGTGAAGGTGTTGAGCCGTAGATCTAAACGATTCTAAACTATAAATTTGTTTATTGTACCAGGGTAAGGCCCACTGAGCCATAGCAACTCTTTTTCACGGGCATCTCTTAACCGCGTGATGTGGAGGACCCGAACAGAAATGCACGTGACCACAGGGAGAAAGACACCGCAAACTCAAAAAATACAGCAGGCGTCAGGGTCGGGATCGAACCCACGACCACCTGTATACCAAGCGAGGTAGTTAACATCTCATAGCCAGTGATGATGATGAGAGAGAAAGACATGCAGACTCCAAACATACAGCAGGCGTCAGGGTCGGGATCGAACCCACGACCTCCTGTATACCAGGCGAGGTAGTTAACATCTCATAGCCACAGTGATGATGATGAGAGAGAGACACGCAAACTCCAAATATACAGCAAGCGTCAGGCTTGGGATCGAACCCACGACCTCCTGCATACCAGGCGAGGGAGTTAACATCTCATAGCCACAGTGATGATGATGAGAGAGAAAGACACCGCAAACTCCAAACATACAGCAGGCGTCAGGGTCGGGATCGAACCCACAACCTCCTGCATACCAGGCGAGGTAGTTAACATCTCATAGCCACCGTGATGATGATTGAGAGAGACACGCAGACTCCAAATATACAGCAGGCGTCAGGGTCGGGATCGAACCCTCGACCTCCTGTATACCAGGCGAGGTAGTCAATATAAATGTGTCATTAAACCTGCCACCACCACCCGACACAGCCAATCAGCAAGGTTGAGTCACGGAAGCCAAAGGTGCCAATTCGTGACTAGTTCAACACACCGCTTGTGTGTTCCAAGAGTGGGCTTACTCTCCGACACACCGGTGTGCTGAACTTACTAATTGGCTGTGTCGTGGGTTTACTCTCTAATTTACAATTGTAAATATTGTGGGTTTACTCTCCAACACACAAGCGGTGTGCTGTACTACTAACAAATTGGCACGTTTTGTTTACGCGACAAACCTCACTAATTGGCGATCTAACCCAACGACTTGATATGGATAATATTGGTCGCGAAAAGCCTACGCATTAAACTGCTTGCTTCGTCTTACCTTAACCAAATGGAAGCTTGAAAGGAATGGGCACGTTTCCACACAGGACTAATGCCTGTCTGAGTTAGATAACAACAACGACAATCAGCCAAGTCCACCTGGATTCGTGGGGGGGGGATTGGCGAGCTGGGAAACGAGTGGAAGAGCAGAACGGCACGTTAAGTGGGAGACTCATTAGCGCTGCTCCCCTTTTGCTGCTCAGCGGACCTCCTCCTCCTCCTCGGCGGTGACCCGCCACGAAGGGAGGGCGGCGGCGGGGGGTTCACCTCCCGTAAATAAATAAAAACAACCGCGGTCACAGGGAGTGTGTGAATAAAAACTCCTCGCTTTGAAGACGTTGATGATTTTGCGGCTCTCGGTAATAATTAACGCCGCCCGGTGGTCGCGTGTCTGTGCGCCGGTCGGACTGCTCCCTCCGCAGCGTGCGTGGCCCCCAAACCGGGCCGTGCCGTGCCACGTTCGTCCGCTCGCGCGGGAAAGAGACCCACCACCACCACCCCCCGCCCGTAGCCTTTAACGGACCGCCGGGGCAAGCGCCGTGAAAGCGAGCAGCACCGATGAAGGCTGGGACGCGGCCTACGACGGGGGAGGAAGGATGGGCAAACGGCACAGCGCCTTCCGCTCGCACTGAGCAGCGGCGTGCACCACCACCACTACTCCCCCCCGCCACTCCTGCACATCACCCCTTTACAACTTGCTATTCCGTGGGGGGGCCCTGCGGACGCACGGTCAGGAGGCGATGGACTCAGCAGGCGTTTCGTCCTCACATCCCTCCTTCCCTCCCCTCCCTCCCTCACCTCGCTCCCACACCTCCCTCCCTAATTCGCTCACCTTACCTCCCTCCTTTATTCCCTCACCTCCCTCCCTCACTCCCTCCCTCACTCCCTCACCTCTCTCCCTCCTACCCTCACCTCCCTAATTCACTCACCTTACCTCCCTCACCTCACCTCCCTCCCTCACCTCCCTCCCTCCCTTATTCCCTCCCTCACCTCCCTCCCTCCCTCACCTCCCTCCCTTATTCCCTCACCTCCCTTATTCCCTCACCTCCCTCCCTCACCTCCCTCACCTCCCTCCCTTCCTCCCTAATTCCCTAACCTTACCTCCCTCACCTCCCTCCCTCATTCCCTCACCTCCCTCCCTCACCTCCCTCCCTCCCTCCCTCCCTCACCTCCCTCCCTCCCTCCCTCACCTCCCTCCCTCATTCCCTCACCTCCCTCCCTCACCTCCCTCCCTCCCCTCCCTCCCTCCCTCACCTCCCTCCCTCCCTAATTCCCTAACCTTACCTCCCTCACCTCTCTCCCTCATTCCCTCACCTCCCTCCCTCACCTCCCTCCCTCCCTCACCTCCCTGCCTCATTCCCTCACCTCCCTCCCTCACCTCCCTCCCTTATTCCCTCACCTCCCTCCCTCACCTCCCTCCCTCGGCAGTGACCGTGGTGAGCGGCTGTTCCGTCGGGGTCTGGAACGAGCCGCGTTGCTCAACAGGCCCCGGGCGAGAGTGAGCGCGCCCGCTATCGTTAACAAAAAATAAAATAAACAAAACCACACAAACGCACGCACGTGTTTCAGATCCATAAAACGGGTCGTCTCTTTGAAAGCCCCCTTAGCTCTGTCGTATCTCTCACTTTTACGAAGCTCTTAAAAGCAGGATAACGGGCAATTTATTTATTTAGACCCTCGGAGGAAGCTGCCACCCAGCAGTGTGGATGGGTCCACTCAGGGCCGGATTCAGATTGTGTAGACCCCTGGGCTGCAGGTACTGTGAGGCCCCCAGTAATATTTTCAAAAGGAAAACAAAGCGAAAGAAAAATAAAATTAAATTTTTACGAGGATAACAACGAATAAAATTCAGCGTTCACAACTGAAACAACTTTTCACTTCATCTCTGCAGGCCCCTCCAGCTGGCGGAGGCCGCTGGGCTGCAGCCCCTTGATCCGGCCCTGGGTCCAACACAGTCGGCCGATTTGGCAGGTCGAGTCTGGTGGTCGGGGCAAAGCGTGGCGCGCTCCAATCTGTCCCGAGCGAGCGAGCGAGAGAGAAAGAGAGGGGTTGTGGGCTCTCCAGAGGTCGCTCTCGCGGAGACCCTTCCGCCAGCGGTGGCTCGAGCCGGGAAATCGCGGGGGCCGCGCCTTTATCTTTAACAGCCGCCGTTACACCCTGCGTCGCGCGCGAGAGAGAGCGCGCCCTTCAAGTCGGAACGATCGAACCTAATGACCGCCCTGGTGGCAACCCCCCTCTCCACCTCCTAATCAGGGGCAGCGCCAGGGAGGGAGGAGAGGGGGGGAAGATTTGGAAACTGGCGACGGCGCGAGTTTGGAGTTCGCCTTCACCGGGAGCTGCTTTGGCCGCGAGCTTCGAAATTCGAAAATCCCACCGGCGCTTCTCGCGACGTCGATCCGCCGCCGCCGCCGCCGCCGCCGCCTCGGCCAACGCGGCTGGCGCCTTTCGCGCGACGGTGAAACGCCGCATCGGCGCAATCGCTCGCCGCCGTGTCCGAGAAAACCGTTACCGCCCTGGTGGCAACCCCCCTCTCCACCTCCTAATCAGGGGCAGCGCCAGGGAGGGAGGAGAGGGGGGGAAGATTTGGAAACTGGCGACGGCGCGAGTTTGGAGTTCGCCTTCACCGGGAGCTGCTTTGGCCGCGAGCTTCGAAATTCGAAAATCCCACCGGCGCTTCTCGCGACGTCGATCCGCCGCCGCCGCCGCCGCCGCCGCCGCCGCCGCCTCGGCCAACGCGGCTGGCGCCTTTCGCGCGACGGTGAAACGCCGCATCGGCGCAATCGCTCGCCGCCGTGTCCGAGAAAACCGTTACCGCACGGGGTGTTTGGGGGTGGTGGGGGGGGTGTTGAAGGGTGGGGGGTGTTGGGGGTGTTGGGGGGTGGTGGCGGGGTGTTGGGGTGGTGGAGGAGTGGTGGAGGGTGGTGGGGGCATGGTGGGGAGTGTTGGAGTGGTGGGGGGGTTTTGGGGGGGTGGTGGGAGGGTGGTGGGGGGGTGGTGGGGGGATGGTGGGGGGTCGGGGGGTATTCCAAGTAATTTTTTCGTCGAGCAAAAATTAAGCAGATGCCTTTTGACGCGTGTCCGCTTGTGATTCAGAGTTTCCTGTTTACACAGCACGGTGTGGTCCCCCCCCTCGCCACCCCTCCGATCGCCAGGGTCCCCCCCCCTCCTGCTTTGTATGCAAACAGCCTTGACAAATGTCTGCCATTCAAACGTGACTGGACGTGTTTAAAGTAGAAGCTCGTCCCCCGGCACCACTCCGCCAGAGGCTCTCTGTATTCCGTCTCCCTCTCTCTCCGCACAGACGCTGCCGCCGTTGTGACAGCGGTCAGCGGCGCGCTCGCCGAT